TTCCAGACTCAATGCCAGTTCTCATTACTACAAATAAACCTGTTGAACTTTTCTTCGTGTTCTCTGAGTGGTTACTCTGCATGTGGGTCAGATTCATTAAACCGATCATGACATCTTCGGTATTTCTATGGATCTCTGTCCCTGACTCCTGTGAACGTCTTTGACATCTTCGACTTTACAAGACAGATACTTTTGCCCTCTGGATTGTCCTGCCTTCCTCCGTCTGCTCGATTCTGATCCCTGCCTGTTCACCGTCGTCTGGGACTACACCACCTGGAACTCTATGGGCAAAATCTGCCGTGTCATTTTGACATCTGACTGAATTGAACCGTCCTCGTCCTCTGGGCATGGACTGAATTTTAAGATAAGGTTAGTGACTCATGTTCATAATCATCCTCTGTCAGATTGACATGGTCACTAACAGGTGTTCTCTTCCTGCAGAGGTTTCTGCCTTAGATGCCTTTGCTGTCTGTCTGCCTTAAACACTGGGTCCTTTTTTCTAAAACAAATAAAACAGTAAGGGCAACAACCTTTGACTAATAAAATCTCGGGCTTGCACCTCTTTTCCAGTCCTCTGGGAGTTTATTCCAGATCAGTGGAGCATAGGAACTAATTGCTGCTTCTCCATGTTTGGTTCTAGTTCTGGGTGGACAGAATAGGTTGGAACTAGAAGACCTGAGTTGTCTGGGAGGTTGATACACTGACAACAAATCTGTTTTGTATTTAGGTGCTGATCCAATAATTGATTTATAGAATAACAAAAGAATTTAAAAGTCTATTATCTATTGTACCTACCTTTTTAAAATAAGTTTTTCCATTTATTTATAAGGAATCTAAAAGAATAAACAACAGTCCTCTAAGTATTGTAAAATACATTCTAGTGCATATAGATCAATGTATGATAATTGAGGATCTTTGGTTTTTATATTCAAGGGAATTATTGATAGAATGAAAGAACAAATTTCAAGTTTTAAACTTTAAAACATCTGGTGATTTTTTTTTTTTTCAGAAAAAAATCGAAAGAAAAAAAAAACTGACACTGTTATATCACCTGTTACTGAACATTTTTATTGACCGAACGGAACATTATTATCACACATTTGACTGACTCGAATTCAAACTGATAAAGAAATGTGTTTTTTTCTAGGTAAATATGAAGTAGCATTCATCAATCAAGACCAACACAAACAACCCTGAGCATCCTCTGACTGCTGTACAACTCATCGTCTACAATCAGAAGCATATTTAGATCTGCTGAAATACAGACTGCTACAGCAGATCTTTCCTCTCTCCAGTCAACTGCTTTTTCCAAAATTTTTGATTGTTGTTTGTACTGTGTGTTCAGGGCTGTTGTCCATCCCTGCATAAAATAACAAGTTAATCCCTACATGATGCTACCATCATATAAAAATGGGACTAATGGGGTCAGAGATTTTTGCCTCATAAAGCACTTTAGATGTCGCCTGAAAATGTACTCACGCCTGACCAGAGCCTCTTTTTAACATGTTTGCAATGCCACAATCTGAGCTTTGAATCTCTGATGTTCAGGTTCATTCCCATGTCTTAATAGGATTGCTGTTGTATCCCTGATTCAAGTGTTTTCCTTCCAAATCACAGCTATGGGTTGCCTTGTTTGGTCTGCAACCAGCAGTGAAATTGATATGAGAGACATCTTTTTCTCTGCTCTAAAAAACACAAACTAGACTTGTTTACGTTTGTGATGGTAGGACAGAAAAAGCTGGAAAACCTCATGAAGGTTTTCTGATCTGATTATGGTGATGAGAAGGATCCTATGGATTTTCTTAGCAGTCCTCTGCAGACTAAAGATGACCTTATATTACACTGAGTCAGAAGTGTTGACTTCTGACTAAGAAAACACAGCTGCAGACAACACAAGACTCAGAGAGCTCTGTTTTTGAAAATATGTGGTTTTAGTTTAATAAGCTAAAGTGAGGGATTTCCCCAGCCTTAATTTTCATTTTCCCAACCCTGAGTTTTTCTTTAGGATTAGATTAAAAAAAGCGACTGTTCTGTTTGGTACAGTGAAGTCATCCGTGCTTTCATTTCACCCCAGACTTGCTGATCTGGTGAATTGTGATAAGATGGGGCAACATTGTTGTCCTTGTTGGCCTTCAGAAAGCATTAGGACTGGATGCACGTCTTGTTTAGCTCCGGCCTTTATCTGTAATCTTCTGACTCAGTGCTGACTGCTACAGATTCTTAAAAAGAGCCCCACTAATGTGGCTCCTAAATCTTTGACAGGCCTTAAAGGTCACAATGTCCCGGGCCCCTCGGCTAGGAAACTCCCTGCTTGAAGAGATCAGACAGAAAAAGAAAGTCTTCCTTTATAACTGTTTTAAAGCTGTGATTTTGTTCCACTGTGAAACCCATAAGTTATGACTTATGTTAGGAAAAAAGAAGATAAATCAAAATGATTAATAGAATTTCAATCATCTCTTAACATTTGCAGCATTAAAGAACAGCAGTTTAATGTACCATTGTGTTCCCTTGGAAATTAGCACTCAAAGAATGACTTCACCAACTTACCCATCTACTATTCTTAAATAAGAAACCTTTTGTTTTTGACCTGAGTGCCGTTTATTTCAAAAATCATTAGACAGGATTCAGGAGGAGAGAGAAGCAGCGATAACATTCAGTGAAGGTATCTGGATCAGGACTGAGGCCTGCGAACATGAATGGTCAATGCAGTTTTTACATTTTTATGCACGATAATTATGTTTTTGATTAAAATCTTTTTGCTAAAAAGCATTCAGAATTTCTGCGGATCATCCACCAATCCCCAGTTAAACATTAAAATAACGGCGGGAAGTGCTTAGTGGAAAAAAAGATGAAATAAGAAGAAAAGAAGCTGAGATGAGGTGAAAGAAGGAGGAAATCAGAAAGCTGTCCTCACAGTTACCAAAAGTGCAGCAGCATCAGCCATCAGCCATCAGCAAGCGCAGCGATGACATCAGCACCTGGTAGGGAAGGTTCTTCATATGGAGAGACACCATTAATAGTTAAGATTGTTTCCTCACTGTATTTATAATTATCTCTTTATCCCATTGAATACAGGAAAGCAGCTGGTTCATTTAGAAATACGCTTTGAATTTCATTGGTTTTTGCTTCATACAGTAGGAAAAGAAATCAATAATTTCTGCGTTTCTTGGGTTTACATGTTGAATTTCCAGGAAAACCTCAGACTTCTTGGGGGTTTCTCAGAAGTTCCTAAGTTAGTGGATATGGATCTCCTCATTGCAAGATTTGCTGAGGCCAAGACTTGCAAAATAAAACCTGTTTGGGAAGACAACTAATGAAAAAGATGAGGTCAAAAGGGAGATGAATACAAAGACAGAGAAAAAGAAGAAAGAAAAAGTGAGAGGAGGACAACGAGTAAAAGGTGACAGGAAGAGAGGGGTAAAGCTTACAACAGTCTGTATCTGGGGTATTGACCTGTTGCTTTCTGTGCTGTATTCTCACCTCAGAGGATCCCATGCTTGCCTTCACCTTGGGTCCCAAACTTCTTAAATCCACCTCTATGGGGTTGGTATGTTCAGATAACAACTATGGTCAAAATAGAAAGCCATAAAGGTTTACTTCATAGGAGTCAGATTATGAATCTTTCCTAAGGTCAAAGGTCAGCACTGAGGAGAGGTGATTGTTATGGGGATCAATGTTAAGTTATTTTTGATGTTGGTATTAATGATAGTGATAATTCCATTCCGTTTATTTATATAGCGCCAATTCACAATTCAGCACCATAGAGGCACTTTACAGAGACAATTCAACCAGATCATAAAGTCAGGTTGATTCAAAGATTTCTATCTAAGTAAAACTAGCTGACTCAAAGGGAATCCCTCACACTAAGCATGCTAGTAGCGACAGTGGAGAGGAAAAACTCCCTTTTAACAGAAAAAACCCTCCAGGAGAACCAGACTCAGTGTGAGCGGCCATCTGCCGAGGCCGACTGGGGTTCAAGGAGACAGAAGCAGACACAATTTTTGATCAGAGATTTTACTAGAAGATTAGATAATTCACAGAAGCTGAGGCGGGTAGGGGTGTTTAACAGTGCTGGTTGGTCCATGCTTGTGTGCTCAGGGAAGGATGGGAATGATGGTGGAGCTTAAAGGATTGACAGGCATGTGAGTGATGGTGGTGGACTGAAAGTGCGTCCAGGCAGAGGAGCTGCCAGAGGAGTAATGAGTGAATAAGTGGAGGGGATCCTCAGATGAACTTTAGGAACAGGTAGACAGAGAACTGGATTCCTGGAGCAGACTGGATTTTACTCAGTAAGTAGAAACAATCTGACATCTTAGTTGCTCCTGTAATTGTGAAGATGCTCCTGTCAATCACATGATGCAATTAAGGAGTCAAGGGGAGTGGCGGCCTATTGGTGAGGGTGTAGAGCTTGGAATCCTGAGGTTCTGAGTTCAAAACCCCCTCCCTCCCCACAGACTGCCACCTTGACTCCCTGAGCAAAGACCCTTAACCCCACACTGCTCTCCACGCGCCGCACAATGGCAGCTCACTGGGTTAAATGCACAGATTTCATTTTGTTGCTCTGTACTTTTGAGACTGTTATGACAATCAAAAAATAAGAAAAAATGCTGTTCTCTATTAGGTGCCTTTTGTTTTTAGTTACCATTTCCCATCTTTATGTTGCCAAAAGAAACCAGAAGGTTTGTTCTGATCTTTTAATCATAAGATGTAATCGATTTTTGCCTTTAAAAGAAAAAAGGTTTGCCATTCTACTGGCTTTGATTGTGCCAAAAGTGTTTTTGTCCCTCTGCTTTTAAAGATCCGCAGATATGAAACTTACAATGAACTATAGAAATCTATCTGTGTTTTCTCAGCGCAGAAATGAAACAATAATCTTTCCGTGCTGGAACAACTCAAAGAAGGAACAGCTCCTCCTCCTCCTCCTCCTCCTCCTCCTCCTCCTCCTCCTCCTCCTCCTCCTCCTCCTCCTCCTCCTCCTCCTCCTCCTCCTCCTCCCTCTGTATGAAGGAGCGGGGAGAGCCATTGTTCTAGTCGTGGATCTCTGCAGAGGGTCACGCGGCCGCGTTGCTCGGGTACCGGACGGCGGTCTGTCGTTATGACGGGCTCTGGTCCGAAACTCGGCGTCCTGCTGCTGGTGGCGGTATTGCTGCAGACGGTGGTCGTCACCATCACGGTGCTGCATTTCACCTCGGCTCTAAACTCGGTGAGGAAGCTGTAAAAGTTGTTGGTTGATGAAGCGGAGACGCGCTCCGTCTTTGCGAATGACGCGCTGTGCGCAAAACTTATCCTGGAGGAACTGATTAGCTTCTGCATCTTCTGCGCACATTTGCATGAGATCTATTATAGAAATATCTTTTGTTTAAACCTGTGACACGCTCTGTTTTTGCTGAAGCCCTCCAGGGTACTTGGGTTATTATGTTCTGCACAACGGGTCACACCAGGCCATGCAAACTTAACACTTTCTTTCTTTTTAAGGATTCTTATTTTAAACCATGCATGTTAACGCATTTGAAGTAAGACCTGGTTTTTTTTCCCCTTTTAGTTTCTGCAGAGCATGCATGCACATATATCTTCTACTAATCTGGATTTACTGACTTCTGGTTCTTGTTTACATCAATTAATCATTAACCCAGATGAGATGGAGCAGCAATAAGTGGGAAATTAAACCTAAACAGATAAGAAGCAAAGAACTGGACACCTGCCAGGAAACATTCATGTTGACTCAGTTTTTTAGAAAGATGGTTAGGCTATTGCATCTCATATAAGCTCAAAATATAAGGATCAAGCTGTTTTATGAATAAGGTAAATCTAATCTGGAGAATGTCCTCAGAAAGTTTTAAATTTCTTTTTTTTTTTTTTTGTCTCCACAGATGAAAGAGACCTTCGCCAGAAGTAGCGTTTCCTGTTTGACGGGCTCTGATCTGCAGAGCATTAGTGCTGTGCAGGGTGATCTCTGCTGGCAGGTCACTCAGCAGTTTCACCTGCTCATAGAAAAGGTAATACAGGAGCTCCAACTATACAACAAAACACAAGTGGGAAAACTTAGCGACTCTGTGTCTAACCTAGCAGCAGAAACTGTGCTACCCACCAGTGTTTGTTGATTGGTTTGGAAATACGGTCATTTTTTGGCAAGCTGCTGTGGTTCAACAAGTTAATTTTGCCTCCTCTGCTCTGCATTATAACTTCCCACACTCTGGGTTCTGCAGACATTTTCAATCCCTCCTGCGCCTCCTCTGAAAACACTCAAATGCTTCACCAAAAGTACAGTTTAAAACAATGACATGTATTGGGTAATATTAAGACAAACGTTCTACCACTGGTAGTTTTTTCTTGTTAAGGAATAACTTAATTTAAACTTGGGAAAAGCCAATAATTGTCTCCATACTTCTGGGCTGTTGTGGATTAGGTCCCTTATGAAGTCGACACAAAGCTGAGATTAATAAAAACGGATTTTCAAATCTGGAAACCAGTGGAGTTGAAGCTATTCTTATTAATATGATTATCAGTGGCCTCCTGTGAACATTGGCAGCAGAAAAAATGTTGAAATGATCCAAATCTCTGTCACAGAGGCACAATGAGCTCCTTCATGGCTGCGATGTGATCCTCTGTGGGCTGATCAGCACAGGAATGCATTCACCTGCTCTGCTCAGGCACAAACCCGCTGAGTTCCTCTCGTTTGAATTCTTATTTATTCCTGTTTTTCTCTTTTTCCAGTGCTGCTATTTAATAACTTAATTCTGCTTTTTTTTCTTCCAGATTTGCAGGTTGAATTTACTGAGAAATAATCAGAATATGAAAAAAAAACATATCAATGTGGAGTCTCATTTAGAAATCAAGAAAAATCATAAACTCCCCAATTAATCTCCCAAATATTTCTGTATCAGATTCCTGTGGTTTGCCTCGTGATAATAAATTATGCATGCCACTTTGATTTTGCAAGACCCTTTTTACACTTTGACATAAAAAAAAACTAGCCACATGTTTCTGGTTTCTGAGCCTGAAGAGGTCTCCTCTGGTGTCTTTTGGCATCATCAGTTTATCTAGGCCTTTCTAGGAATGGGCTTATAACCTAAAGCAGGACTGACCATGCTGGAAACCTTTTCATGCCATATCTATATTCCATGTTCCCAGTGAGAAAACCTAGTGATGTATTTAGCAATGAGGACAGAAGAGTGGTTAAAAAAAACAACATAGGAACTTACCTCTCAAGTTGCACTGTGGCTCTTAATGGTTATAATTTTTTTTTTTATTTGTAAAGCACCTCCGACTTGGTATTGATATTTTATAACCTATAAAGAAACAACCTTGTCACATATCTGGTAAATGGAAAATTAAGAAAGCAGCAGAAAATAACATGTATGGATCCAGTTAACGGATCGGGTTCTGCTTTTCTTTATGTTAAAATGAGATTTTAACCACATTGGCTTTATCCAGCCTCATTGGAGGCTCTAATGTTGCTAATAATTTGATGAGAAACATGTCAGCTGTCTTTGAAAATTCCCACAATTTAAACCAAATTAGCATCGATCCAAACAGAGAAGAAGGTTCAGGTTTCAATGTACCATCTTAATATTAATACTAGTAGTTAAATTTGTTTTGAAGGGGTTTAAAACACTTTTTTTTTTTCATACAACATCTTGAGAAAACCAAACCATACAAATGCTGCTCAAAGAGCTATAGGCTTCAGAAATCAAATCAAAGCGGGACACAGCAGAGGAGAACAAAGCTTAAAAATTGGATGAATGAATCTGAAACGAAATACTACATTTCAAAACCTTGGAATTAAAACCTTATAACCAAGGTTTGTCGTAATGATAAGAAAAACATTGTGTTTATTGTCCTAATTCATTTTGTAAAAATTGGAGGTCGACGTCTCTAGGTTTCCCATCTGACAGACCTAGAGACGTAGCTCCAATATCACATCCTATTAATGTAAAACAACAATATGCAGCCTAAATCTATACTGGTTAATATTATGGACAAATAGTTCAGTTTTTAGTTTGCAGACGATAAAGACATGCCTCCAAAAATGTATGTTTTTCATGGAGTGCATTTGCAAACTGGAATCTCTCTTTTTTTTTTTGCTTTTTAAAAAAGACGGCTTCTTCCTCTCTGAGTGGCTTTTCAGCCCATAGTCCTGTTAGTGATTTTCAGCTGGTATCTTGTTTTACTTTATCTATTTTTTTCATGTTTTGTTTTGCATTTTGTCTGCTGTTGTTTTAGATTTTTTGCACACAAGGAACAGGAGTATCTGATGTTTCCGTTAAATTATTCTGCAGGTTTGCCTTAAGGGAGCTGAAAATTTGTACAATCAGATGGTTTTGTTTTTAATTGATTAATTCATCTATTAACTGTTATGTGTATTTACAACTAAAGTGATACTCAACAACAAAATCATGCATTGAAACAAATTCACGTGCCATCTAAAAACAAAATCATTATGTTCAAATATTAATTTTAATCCTGCTTTTTTGGTTTGACCAACTCAAACTAACTGCATAATGTGCTTTACTCTAAAAATGCAGAGGAACGTATGACATGAGGAACAAAAGAGGGATCAGTTTACAGGAAAGGATCTTCTGCCCGTCTGAACATGAAAGCCTCTTGTTTTTAAGCGAAGGAAACTTCCTGGTCCTGATTTCAGCACATTTTCAGGGTCAAAGTCAAACAGCAGTGTGCCAGGCAGGCCTGTGGAATGAGCTGATTGCTCTTTGCTGCAGAAACAAGTTCAAACTGCAGTTTTATGTCCTGTAGGTTCTGTTTCCAACAACATGTTGAGTCTTCCTCAATACTTGTTAAAGACACATTTCAATTGAAAGGTGTCAGACAGAAAAACGTGTAACTTATCAAGATGGGAACAAGCAAAAAGCACAAACAGCGTGGGACGCTTCATAATTCTTTGCATCTGTTCTTCCTGCAGTCTCTGTCTCAGCGTTACCAGAGGCGGATTTCATCAGCAGTGAGAGGTGAGAAAACTGATTCCAAATGCAAAAAAAGATACAATGCGATAATTGAAAAAACAAGTAAAACACTCTTTTTATGACATGATGGAATAACAGTCTGGTTTCTAGTAGGTTCATGGATTAGTTAAAATATTACCAGAAGGAAATAACAAACACATTGTGGGATTTGTTTCTATTTATTAAGTTAAACCAAAATAAAAATTCACTGAAAGTAGCAGCCAGGCGCTGCAGATTAGAGATATAGAAAAAAGGCTTCTAGTGTGATGTTTGCTGACACTATGCTAAGGTGGACAGATCTCTGCAATTAGCTTAGAGAAGTTCCAAAAAAATAAAAAATAAAATAAACAATCCACTGGACTTTGTTTCCAAGTTTGAAGACATTTAAAAGCTTTTTTGATTTAATTTGAATTGAAAAAGGTTCCTGGATGGGAAGCGAAACGTCTCCAAACTTTAATTTTTTATTTTTACTTTTTTTAAATGAATAGGACCTGGAAGACTGAGAATTCAATTCATTTCAGGTTATTTCTATAGCGCCAATTCACAACACGTCACCTCAAGGCATTTTACTGTTCACCAGATCATCCAGTCAAATGGATTCAAAGTTTTCTATCTTAAGAAAACCAGTTGATTGCATCGACTCATTGATTCGAATACAATCCCTCACACTAAGCATGCTTGTAGCGACAGTGGAGAGGAAAAACTCCCTTTTAACAGGAAGAAACCTCCAGAACCAAATTCAGTGTGAGCGGCCATCTGCTGAGGCCGACTGGAGTTCAAGGAGACAGAAGCAGAGATACAAAAAGCAGCTATAAAAGGCGGCCCCGTCCAGGAAACACACAGCCAGGCAGACGAGCTCCAAGCCAGCTCCCATGCCAGAGGACGAAGAGAGCACATCCAGCCAGTCACAGTCAGAGAAACAGAACTACACTGGAAAACAAGCCGATCTCCAGCATCTATAAACAAAGGTGTTGATGGCAGCAGCACAGCTGATAATTCTCTCCAGGATGGAGTCACAGAATCTTCACCAACATACCTTACAGGAGCTACTTCTGCCTCTGGGAAAGGTTATAAGGCCCGTCTCAATGTATATAAAGTCAGAAACATTATTCACAAGTGGAAAATATTTAAAACATCTGTTGATCCCTTAGGAGTGGATGTTCAAAGACATAAAACTCAAGAGCTCTATGTTCAACTCTGCAAGTGAAAAAGAGTCATTTTATGGGCTGTTTGGAAAGGTTTGTTAGGAAAAGCTCAATCGCTTTAAGAACAGCAATAGAAAAAAATCAGTAAAAAACCAATCAAAAAAAAAAAAAAAAACCCACCTCAATCATCTATAAAACATAGTGGTGTAAGATTAATGATCTGGGCAGGTTTTGCAGCCGAAGGACAAAGGAAACCTCTTGTCGTCAAGTCAGTTGTGAACTCTTTTATATGAAGGATTTCTAAGTAAAATGTTCTGCCATCTGTCTGACATCAAAAGTTTTGTTCAAACTGGTTCATTAATTATCCTAAAAACAGCAACAAAACTTCTATGACCGACTAGCTGTCAGTCATGGTGTTATGGTGGGATATAAAGGAAAAAAAAACATTGTCTGTTGCATATCTGAGGTTAAATTCAAGCCTTAGTGAGGTCTAGATTTTTTTAATGTAACACTCAACATAGCATTTAAAGATATTTCTCCATCTCTGTGTTTTTTTCTACTTTTTAATCTCTATGTTAGATGAAGTATCCCGTGTGCTGCCCTCGCTTGTAACGGACGATAGGGCTTCACCTCGCCCCAAAGTCGCTGCTCATGTTACGGGCAGCTTTGTAGCCAAACTGGAGCGCAGTGGTGGAGGTAAGAAAATCCTAAACAGACCCAGGTTAGCTCTCTAAAGGAAACTAAAGTGTTACTGATAGAAAGAATCGTGTTTTAAAGTAATTTAAAATTCATGTTTTGTTGCGCAAACAAAATGGGATCCTTGAAGATAAAGCATCTGCTACATGTTAAGTTCTTAAAAACAAATATATCACTGTGTGTTGGAAGATAAAGGCAAGCTGTATGTAGAAAGACAGTGATTATATTAGTCTGTATTACCCAGTAAATATAAACAACTTAGTAAGTTTTTAATATACAGCATGGCAATGTGGCTGTGCAGAAAAAAGGCTCTCAGTTTGAATCGGGTCTTTCTGCAGAGCCCTTCTTACACGCTGCGTGGAAACTTTTCTAGCTTCTTCTTTCTCCTCCTACTAGTGATGAGTCCAGCAACACTGATGCCTCGCTGCATGCATGGAGCCCATAGAACAAAATACTGGGCGTGTTGTTTCAAGAAAGTCATGTGACCGATACAGGAGTTGTCTTTAACTGAATGACGCCCTAAACTGTTTTTTAAAAATATGTACCTGTCAACATAATGCATTTGCTAAAATAAATCTCATCTTTATCATTCAAATTATCAAGAATTTTGGAGCAGCCTTAAAGGAATAGGAACGTTTCAGCCATTGCTTTTTTATTTAAATTATCTGTGTGTTCAAATTGACTGTTAGTTTATTTACTGTTTTTACTGTACTTATTGTTTTAAAAATATGATTTAAAATCCTACTCCACAAACATACTCATTCACATTTCCCCCTAAATTTTCACGTTGTGATATATAATCACATTATTTATTGGCTGCATCTAAAAATATCAAAGATATTTTCAATTTAAATACAGATATGAAATAATACAATATAGCCTTAAATAGCTTATATTATATAATTGTTCTATGTCATCAAATCAGTTCAGTTTAGTCTGTCAAATAAGCTGCCTGTAGTGTGTTTAAAAGTCCAACAGGTGTCAGTATTCTGTGAGATAGTATCAAAGCAGTATTATTACAGTTTGGCAAAGTGTCCAAACGCCTCCAGATGCCTCATTAATCCATCACTACCTCCTACTGTCTAAATCTATTTTTTATCCCATAATGTTGTGATGTTCTGCAGACCTGTCCAGGTCCAACCCTAATAACAGCTAGAAATGGTCATCCTGCACAAACAGCTGCATGTAGATGATGGAAGGATGGATATAATGTGCTATAAAACAAAATCCCAGGAACTTCAAAACAATATTTTGTCAGAGTTTGACGTTTCTGCGCTTTATTATTTATATCTTTAGGTTTTTACGGCACTAGTGGCTAGTTTTTTTGACAGTGGGCTGACAGGACAGGGGGTATTAGAGAGGGGGAGAGACATGTGGCAAAGAACCACAGGTTGGATTCAAACTCTGGTCGTCCACGTGGAGGACTAAGGCCTCCGTAGATCGGTCGTACGGCTAACCAATGCACCTACTAACCAATGCACGAAGTTTCTACGCTTTTAACTTCAAATTAGCAGCTATTCATGCCAGCCTCTAAGTTAACATGATCCAACCGTAAACAATTGTTTAACCTTTTCTCTAACGTAAAAAAAAATAAAATTTATACAGGGTTTCCGCGGGTCATTAAAAATCATTAAAAGTCATTTAATTATTATTTTTTAAATTAAGGCCTTAATTGGCATTAAAATTCATTAAATGTGTTTATTGTGGCATTTAAAATGCTTTATTTAAAAAAAATGTTTGAGTCAGAGAAAAAGCTAGAGAATGGGGGGGAAGCAAATTTCAACAAAAGTGGTGGGAAAACTAGGAATTCGGGACATGGCTGCAGCCTGTCGACTGGTACCTGTTGGTGGCATTATAATTATTTCTAAGAGCATTAAAATGCTTTAAATTTGAGTATTTATTCCTGTATAAACCCTGTATACAAATTAAGCAAGTCTATGGTAATTTAAAAGTTAATTTGTTCGAACTTCCTGTATCATCTAGCTTTGCTGCACATTAAAAACAAAATGCAGCTGCAACTTAAATGGATTACTTCAATAATTGAATCCAGTTGATCCAACTTAATTTATTTAATTTATAAATTGACAACTTAAATTAATTTGGGTAAACTTAATTCAGTTTCTTATTGAATTAAAGTAATTCATCTAAGTTGGAGCTTCATTTTGTTATTCTCTCTCACTGTGCACTTTAGCTGACAGATTATACAAATGAAGCAAATATTTAAACTGAATGTTCAGTTTTTTTATCTTGTTGCCGCTAACTGTACTGCAATGCTAACTGTACCTGCTATCAACAATAAGTGTATATTTAATTTCCATTGACTTTTTATTTTATTTTCATGAAAGTATTTTTTTTTTCCTTGAGTAAAACGAATGTCGAGTTGCCAATTTAACAATTAAAAGCCCCAGCCTCTTAAGATAATGCTTTAATTTGCAGTATTGCAAACTTACACGCTGTTTATATCAAATTGATTTTCTAAACTCCAATGTTTATAAGAAATGCACTCTGTTGGTCCTACTTTAAATGTTTAATGTTTCTGATTTCAGCTCCAGTCCCTGCTGGGCGACGGGTTCAGGGTCAAAAGATCACTTGGTGGGAGGGTCAGAAGGGCCTTGCGTTCCTGCAGGACGTGCAGCTGCTGGACGGGGAGCTGGTGGTGTTGCAGCCCGGCCTCTACTACGTCTACGCCCAGACGTACTTCAGGCACACCCACTCCCTGGAGGAGGACGGTGAAGAGGTAGAGGACAGAGGGAAACCACTGCTGCAATACGTCTACAAAAAGGTAAGGGACTCTAGGTAGACGCAATGCTTCTTCTTTCTGGACTTTGCTTGATTTTTGCCACATTTTACTAATTAGCTGTGCCTAAATGTTGCTTCTAATGACTCACCACCCTTGGTATAATTTGAATAAAGATTTTAAACCTTTTAAAATCAAATTCTGATGTTGAGGAAAATTGATCCCAGCCTGTCAGAGCGAAGCCAGCCTGTCTTCAGCTCTTCAGGATTTTAGTTTCTGTTAAATTCCCACCAGACTGATGATTTAAATCAATCCTAGCCAAAATCCTGTGCCTGTCAAAATTAATGACAAATGTGGAGCCTGACAGTTTCAGTATGTCTTCTTTTATGAAATAATAGACCAGCAGTTCTTGAGAAAAGTGACAATCGTTCAATAAGAACTGCAAGTACTGGTGTGGTAAACTAATGCTGTGAAGCTTTTTTTGTTTGTTTTGAAAAGCAAAGTCATGGCTTGTTGGAGGGAACAGTTTTCTAACATGGAGACATATTATCATAGGAAACATGTGAGGAAGTCGAGGAAAATAAAAATTCAGATCACAGCCTTAGCTGGACTCCCCACATACTTTGGTTCTGGTTTGTGTTTGGTCTTTTATTTTTCTAAACCAGCGTAGATGCTACGGCTCCCAGAAGTTCATTCTTTAAGCCATAAATACTGTTTTAATTTAAAAGGAATAAAAGTTTTTATGATTATCAATTGTACCAGCACTTCATTTAAAAATGAGTTTATGGACAGTTGAATGTGTTTAGAGTAAACTATAAATAATAAATCTGATTAGGCTGTTTCATTAGAATCAGTAGCCCTTATTTTGTTCTATGTGAAGCAACAGTGCTGCCTTTTTAAATCAAAAGGGGTTCTTTATTTATACGTTGTTTAAAGCCCTTCAATGTTTTTAAATTGTTTAAAAGCAGTCTTAATGCTTTGTCATTTCAAGGCGTTTTTTAAGTAATCACTTTCCTTTCCATTTGCTAAGCGAGGTGTTTTTAAAGCCACTTTCCTTTGAGCTATGACTTTTTAGACATAATAATCCAGCAAATGCCAAATAATTAGCTTCCAAGTCTTCAGACTTTATAGTTTTTGAGAGAGAACCTGTTTTAAGTTGGAATTAGACTGTTAGATTGGCTCAGTGGCAGCTGACTGAACATCTAACAAAAACTTTGTTTCTCTGCTTTCTTTCTATTTTCTGTCTCCACCTTTTCTCCCCAGGTGAACTCCTACCCCGTCCCCATCCTGCTGATGAAGACCAGCCGGACATCCTGCTGGTCTCGGGGTTCCGACTTCTCTCTGCACTCCGCCCACCAGGGGGGGCTGTTCCCGCTCACGACTGGCGACCGCCTGTTCGTGACCGTCACCAATGCCTCTGCTGTGGACATGGATGAGAAGAGCAGCTTCTTCGGAGCGTTTCTCGTCAGTTAGAGGGTTGATTGAAGGAAACTGACATCATGGCGGCGTGGTTTTTCAAAAACGATCAAACTGCTGCAAGCATCAGACCGCCCTGAGACGTCTCCTCTTTTTGTCTTAAGGGATCAGTAACTGAACAAAATCTTGATAACACTGGTTTACCTGGCAGAAGGGACCTACTGAAAACATGAGGACGGAGTATGGACCCGACTGTTTCTGATCTGCAAACATTTCCTGAGACCACAGTGCTTTAATTCTAGCAATGGTTGAAGAGCTTTTCTGAGTAGATCAGTTCCAACAGCGATTTCCAAATGTTAGAGAAAATTCACCTAGAAGCTGACCATCTTCCAGCTTAGACAGTTATGCAGTGTTGCATAATTTTTTTTAATTTTTTTTTAGGGGTAAATCTCTGTTATTTCTGAATTTTGCATAACAGCAGTTTGAATTTGCAGTTTGTCACTATTTTCGCTATTTAGAAAGCTTAATACATTTGAGATACATATTCTATCCTGCGAAACCCCTTTAGGCAAAGGGAAAATTTTCTCCAAAACGTTAGAGATAGTAAACTTTTAATTCAAAATGTGTTAAATTAAATCCTTTCTGCCTGAATGTATTTTAAGTTTTATAAAATATTTGTATGTGGATTCAGGCAAGAATGAAATGCTTTGGATATAGTTAATTTAAGTATAACACATCTAAATGATATATCTTTTAGTTTGCAGATTCATGTAATTAGGCATAACTGGACATAATTCCAACCACCAGACGTCAGGAAGGGGTTTCCAGCACAAACATTATCATCTTTGTCTAAGACACAGCGGTTGGTATTTTATGAGCCCCGTTGTAAAAGTGGTTTAGGTTATATTTACATTAAACATCATGGATTTAAGTCTGACAGTCATAAATAGATGTAAAGAAATTTAGCATCTGGCCACAAAAGAGCTCATATCCAAATCTCTACCATTTAGAGGAAAATATGGAGAGCTGTGGTTTCCCTATGACTTTAAAGCCGCAAATGAAACGTAAACATTGCAGAACAATTACATTTATATTTTTTTTCCAGCGTTATGAACGTTTATACTTCATTGGAGGGATCATCTACATTAAATTGAAAAAAATCAACCTGAATTAAGGTTTATTTAAAGTCTCAACTAAGTTTGCAGCCTTCTTCACTTTCTTTAGTTTTTCTGAAAACATTTTCAAACATGTGCTCTATTAAAAGAAACAAAACATGTCATAACTCCCCCAGGCCACTAGGAGGCACTATACTGCTCCTCCTTTAAAGTGAAAAAACAAGGCAGGAAGCAGGTGCTATAAGCATGGCTAATAAATCACAAAATTTGCTAGTTTAGAATGTCTATATTAAACATGCAAATGTAAAATGTTATACTGTTTTTAATTCAGTAGCTAATTTAAAAGGTTTTATCTTGCAATAGCGTTCTTGATACACTAAAACAGAAATCTCTGAAGAAAAAAGTATTGTCAAATTTTGAAATCATGCTGACATATGGAGGTATAAATTTGCCCAAAAAATGTTGCAAATATAAACCATTGAAGGCTGCTAACGCATATTTACCACCTAGTGGAAAAAATGAGCAACTGCAGTTTAACCATTGCGATTTCCACGCGGATGTTGTAAAAACTGCTGTCAAACGTTAGCTTAAAACTCCTGTGAGTTTTCAGCGCCACTCATAAAACTGCGATCAGATTCTCTTGATTTATTTTTTCCAAGAAGATGTAAATACTAAGCTATATATTTTGCATTTTATTTTTGTAAGCCTTTTTCTATTTTTTTTCCAGCGATGTGATCAACATAAAGGGACAATCCAAACCCACTAAAACAACATGAATGGATGTGTACATTGTAAAATCTTTTAACAGCCTGCATTTCTTATTCTGTGGTTTGTTTTTGTTGAAAGAAATTAATTGCTTTGTCTCCAATCCTGCAGCTTATTAAAGCCTCCCTAAGATTGGTATTTCTGCTATGTTGAACGACCTGCAGATCTAGAAAAACATGGTGCTGTCATGAAATGTTGCAGTGAGCAACGCCAGATGCTCCCTGAGGAAACAAAGATGATTATCAGATGTTAGAGGTTGCATCATGGTTTGCGTGTACCTGTTTTCTACGTCTGTAATCTTTTGAGACCTGCTTGAGCAGCTTCCAAGTTGTACCGTCAGCTGATTTACTTACAGTAATTGACCTTGAAGCAGCACAAAGAAAACAATATACAAAAACAAGAAGTGTTGGCCTGCTAGGTGCAACACACAGTACAAGCAGGTTTAAAAGAAGAAACAGAGTAAAATTAGACACAAATAAGATTTTTAAATGACATAAATGCAGCACTCAGTGGAGACACTAAATCTCTCGTTGTGAATGCTTAATTAACACGTGTCCAATAAAGTTTTAGTGACTTATGAAACCGATCCAAGGCTTTAAAGACTTTGAAGTGAAAATCAAAAAGGTTTGATCTCTCCATGCTTAAAAGCATCATAGTCATATTGTTTTTTATTAGTCTGCCAGAGAGGCCGTAAAACAGTCTGATTGAGGGTTTGTAAACATGTGACAGTGTGCCTGATAGAAAACACCTGAATGTTGCTAAATGTTATTCAGAATGTAAATATGTGAAATAAATATGCTTTTAAATAAAGAATCAGCATATTTGTCTAAGAAAGGTTATTTTTTCAAATGCTTTGATAACTGATGATCAACTTGGATTTCCGAAGGCTTAAGAAAATTATTGCGTTGTTCTTCAAGACTTCTGTAATATTCTCTGACCTGCTGGATAAACCTCTGAACTTCATCTTTTTTATTGTCTTGTTAGAGTTGGGAGTGTGTTTGTGTGCAGCTGTTTTGAACAATAACCCGCCTGGGTTTATATCTGGGTGCTGCTTTCCTGACCTCAGCTCCAGCATTTCAATATTCTAATGTTATATCTCCTTCATCATTAGTTCATTGATACTGGAAAATCCACAGACCATCACCAGATTGTCCCTGGATTGTTGGGAGGCATGTTTGATGTTTTGATCAAACGCTTGATTCATTGCAGTGCTCTTAGACAAATCTGGGAGCAAACCAACTCCCTCTAATTAGAAACAATCAACAAAGATGGATTGTAACAGGATGCAGGGAAGTGGAACATCTAGAGAACAGATGGAAACAATCAAATCTTCACCCTCATACTTTCTTCAGAATTTTAAATCTGTTCTTGATAGTTTTCTCAGACCCCGCTGCAATTGTTTGATTAAGCTTTGCACTGGTGGCAAATGATAATGAAACTCATAGGGCCTTCTTGAAGGCTCATGTTACCCTGAGCTATCTCTATAGTTTTGCTGCTATAGGCTTACTCTGCTGGAGGACATAGGGACCCCTTATTCATCATTCTGTTAGATCAATCTCTAACGCTCTCTTTGCTTTTTCTCATAGTAGCTTCACCTGTTTGGCTGTGACTCCATCCTGGAGAGAAATATCAGCTGTGCTGCTGCCATCAACGCCTTTGTTTATAGATGTTTGAGATCGGCCTGTTTTTCAGTGTGGTCCTGTATCTCTGACTGGCTAGAATGTGCTCTCTTCATCCTCTGACATGGGAATTGGCTCGGTGCTTGTCTGCCTGGCTGTGTGTTTCCTGGACGGGGCCGCCTTTTACAGCTGCCTTTTGTATCTCTGCTTCTGTCTCCTTGAACCCCAGTCGGCCTCGGCAGATGGCCGCTCACACTGAGCCTGGTTCTGCTTGAGGTTTCTTCCTGTTTAAAGGGAGTTTTTCCTCTCCACTGTCGCTACAAGCATGTTTAGTGTGAGGGATTGCCTTCAAGTCAATGAGTTGATGCAATCAACTGGTTTTCTTTAGAATAAATTTGACTGTATGATCTAATTAAATTGTAAATAGCCTTAATATGACATGTTGTGAAATGGCGCTACATAAATAAACTGAATTCAACATCCTGAAGTCTTCTTACTGTGGGATATTATGTTTGCAAGTGTTTTTAAGTATAAAAGCTACACTACATTTTTAAGGGATGTGTTCCTGTTCAGACTGACATGAAATTACTTGTGTAGCTTTTGAACCCAGAGAGATAATCCATTGACATTTTTATCTGCAAAAAATATAAATAATATTAAATATTTTTGTGATGCACAGATGAGACTTCTGAGGTTACTGAAACTACAGTAGACTCAGGTGAAGGAATTGATAATTGTCTACTTGACAGATCAGTTTGTGAGTCTAAAGTACACCTGTCCAGGTAATCAGCAGCAATGGAGAACCATGGGGGGGACGGTACTCTCACCTTTCCTTAACTCTGTACACCTCTGACTACCAGTACCAGAGAGTCCCGTCATCTGCAGAAACACTGGGATAACTGCAATCATTGGGTGCATCAAAGATGGAGCAAAAGCTGAGTACACAGAGCTGGTGATACGCGTTGAACCGGTGTGGAAACAATCAGCTGATAGCATGGAGATAATTGTAGATTTCAGAAGAAACAAGAACAAGATGAATCCTACTAACATGGGAGAAGAAGTGAAGGTGGTTGAGGAGTATAAATACCTTGGTGTTCACCTGGACAAAAAAACTAGACTGGAGACAACAATGAAGCGTCTGCAAGAAGGACCTATTGGACTTCCTAAGAAAGCTTAGGTTCTTCAGTGTTTGCAGGATCTAAATGTCTGCTTCAAACTAGAAATCTCTATGTGTTTGAGCTTAAACACATGTACCCCTAAAAGTGACCATTAACCTGAGAAGATGTGAGAGGATTCAGTAATTTAATCTGCACCGCAGATTCTGGGTCAGTCTGGTTAAAATTAGGGGCCAATTTAGACAGGAAGTAGATCTGACCTGTAGATCTACTTTACTCTAGAAATATTACAACTACACATTTTTGTTCCAGTTGTCAGGAGTCATTTTGTTTTATCCAATTCATTTAGTCCTTCCACGAGGACTGAATATTTACGAATATGAAATTAGCTGATCTTTTATGTAGAACTGAGAAATTAACCTTTGTTCTAATCTTAATAAAGCTTCATAGAAAATAACAAAAATGCAAATTGTACTAAATTCAGATAATGATCTTAACAGGCTAAATAAATAAAAAGGGCCTAAATGTAAAAAAAACACTTTTAAATATTTCTGTCGTTGGGTCTTCTACTGCCCTCTGGTGTTGATGTTGTGCATTACAAGTGAGCTGAGAAATGTGAAAGAAACCACATCTTTTCTGATTTTCATTTCTTTTTTATGGAAATATGTTACAGTTATATTACAGTTATTTAAATGCCCAGAGGGAGAAACAAACAAGAACAGTTCGGAGACAGCAAAAACGAACACTAAGGAAGGCAACTGCAACTTAACCAAGAAAGAAACGGGGAAAGTGGTCGGGTAAAACGAGACGCCCGCTGTGGGATTGGCGTTAAGAGGGAGAATAAATACTGCAGATCTCGTTAATGCGAGAAAAACAGAAGGACGAACAGAGGAGAAGCATTCTCAGAGGTCGTTCTCCTCTTCTCTACTATTTCTGTGGTACTTTAGCAGCATCTGGACCCAAACTTGTGGCAAACATCTGCAATCAACCAGAGGTTTTTAAACGCATAAAAGAGCAGATGAGCAACGCGGTGGGTGAGTTTCTTCAGCTGTGTGACCAGTGTGAGAAAGTGCTTCATGTTCACAAACACACAAATGACGACATTTAAAAAACAGCAAACCAGGGATTTTTTTTTGTTTTTCCTCCATACTTAAAATTCACAATTTTACTACTTAAATACATGTTTCTGTAAGTATACAACATATCAGAGTAATATTTAGTGGCTTAAGTGGCTCACATAGTATAAACATTCAACAGGCATATTAAACCTTGGCTGGTGGTGTTAAAATTCACATCCTGGCTCTACAGCTAAGCAGGTAAGAAACTATTATTGTAGTTGAGCTTTGAATGCTTTATGATTGGAGGTTCCCATCTGCCCTTTAGCACTGTAAAACATCCTGGTTGAATGCAGATCTGCTTCTGATTGGTAGAAAAAATGCTGAATTGATGCATCTGGGTGTAAATATTTTGATTTTCCCACCAGTCTGATGATGTCGACTGTCTCCAAACCAGGTGCCCTCACACTCACACACCTCCTGACTCACCTACACATCTTCATGCTCTACACAAAACCCGACGTAGAGAAGAAAACAGAAAGGAAACTAATCTGGCTGAAATGAAATCTCTGCTCATAAAGTAACTCTAGGTCTCTCTCCTTTCTTCTTCTCCTCTCGGGATGAAAGACCACATGCTGGGCGCGGTCAGACCGCCCGGTACTGTAGCTGCCTTTTTCTGGCTCCGCTGCTGCAGGTCGACCTGGGAATGTAGGAAGGTGGGGGAGGGGGGAGGAGACCTCAACAGTCAAACCGCATTTCCAGTGAATCCTCGAAGGCCCGGTTGTCGTGGCCGGCCCCCGACAGGAAGGCGGCGGAGACGGGCGCGCCGGTCGCCGTGGTGACGTTGAGGAGGGTGCCGCCCGGGGAGCCGCCGGCTGGGCTTCGGAGGGCCGCGGCGGCGATACTGGTGAGGTTGATGCCCAGCGTGAGCCGGGTTTGCTCCAGGGCCTTCTCCGGCACAGCGAAGGCCTCCAGCTTCTTCTCCCCGTTGGCCATGTAGGAGTTCTGGCAGCCGCGGCAGATGCAATCCAGACACGCCTGGAAGCAGAGAGAACCCGCTGATAGATCCATGGCAGCTACGTAAAGAATGGCACAGGCGGCGGATTTTTGTGTCTTTGTGCGTCGCTCAAATCATTCCCCATTAAAACTGGATGTACCTACTGTGTAAACGTTTGGTGATGATATATTGGACATTGTAACATCAAGCCAATTTATCTCATGTTGCTTTTGTGTCTCAAACTAAACATCTAAACCTGCAGAGAAAAACCGCTCAGGTCTATAAATGTAGCTGACCCCTGACCCTAAGCTGGTGATGGGTCAATGAGGCATCTTGAAGCGTTTGGACACATTGCTGAATACTGACACCTGCTGGACCATTAAAGACACTACAGGCATTGGACAGACTAAACTGAATTAATTTGATGACCTAGTACGATAATATTATTTAAGTTATTCTAGGTTATATTCTATTATTTCAGATTTATATTTAAATTGAAAATATCTTGATATTTTTAGATGCAGCCAATAAATAATGTAAACATGTGAAATGTGAATGAGGGTGCTTGTGGACTAGGATTATAAGTTATATTTTTAAAACAATAAGTACAGCAAAAACAGTAAATAAACTAAGAGTCAATTTGAAATTAACTTTAATTCAGATAATTTCAATAAAAACGCAACGGCTGATACGTTCCTATTCCTTTAAGGCTCCAAAATCCTTGAAAATTTTAACCATAAACTGCACATGCATCATTTGACAGATATATTTTTAAAAAACTGTTCAATGTGTCATTCAATTAGAAACAACTCCTGTATCTGTCACATGACTTTCTTGAAACGACACACGCACCGATACAGTGTTTTGCTTTCTTGGAAGAAAGCAAAACACTGTCTTGAACGCATCACCGACACATCGGTGTTACTGGACCCATCATTACTCTAAAGGCCAATTTATGCTTCTGACACATAGCCTCTTCAACCATCAAATCTGTCTCTGTGGGCGCGCAGACCTCAAGCGGAACTGCGCGAACAAAAATGCCAAAATGCCTTTCCAGCTGTCTGTGTGGTCGTCCTTCTCGGTTCGGTGCCGGGGCGCGCCATTTTTAAAAACAGAGGAACAACTACTATGGACAACTACGATGAAAGGTTAATAAAGGAGGTTCGGAAGTACAACCACTTGTATGATGCCTCAGACAAATTACATAAAGATGCCAAGGTCTCTGCCAAAGCGAAGTTCTTGTGACCATCCGCCGAAGTTCACGCAAGTTCTCGAATAGTCTCCCCCTAGCGCTTTGGTGGGTAACTGCTCTGCCTCCTTAGAAATTCCAGACCGACGGTTCAGAAGTGTACCAGCAAAACTGGTTCACGACCAGACCCAATATGATATGTACCGTTGCAGAAGTCTAATCTGCCCTTAGGTCATCCTGATTATGTTTTCCTTGTAGTCTTCAAACCACCTCTGACCAGCTGCTGAGTCCCTCCTAAAGAAGTGAAACTCCACAGCATGATACTGCTGCTGCTATGCTCGACAAAGGATTGATGTGTTCAGGATGTCCAAAGTGTAGAAGATGGTTTTAGAAAGTCACCCTGCTTTAAACCTCTCTAATCTATCTGCACCATGATGATTAATATTATGAATAAAGCATCAAGGACAAATAGATCTATAGTGAAATTAAATAACAGACGTTGCCTGTAGTGCACTTTATTTAAGCCCTGATGAGACCAAACATGACTCTGTGTCTGATCCGACAGAAAATCGTGTCGTAAAAGCTTCTGATGTTTAGTACTCACTGAGAGTAAATAGGGATAAACAAAGCAACGAATCCCAACACGTTATTCAGCAAGGGGGCTAACGTAGCTCCAACGGAGAAAGACCCGATTCTATTTTTATCAGACTACGGAGAAATTCAGGAGCATTTTCATGGGTCTAACAGGAAAAGAGACACATTCACAAAGTAAAACACATCTGATTTGAGGGATAATGCTAAATCTTTCAATCGCAAAGGAAGGTTTCCCGGGTTTGGAATCGCAAGCATAAACAATCAGTTAAAACATTTTAATAAGCAGAATATTTTACTTATAGGAGTTCAGAAAATTGATAAAGTCAAATAATTATCCTTTTTGAGCATTAAAAAAGTTCAGTGCAGGACATGCAACATGTTTATCACTCTCCCCTCTTAAAGAAAAAAAAACTTTAGTAAACTTAGATCTTTGAGAATCACCTGGTCATGAAGCAGGGCTTTGCTTTGTAGCTGCGTAGGCTTATTTTTGTTGTATCTTTGTTTAGTTATTTTAATGTTAAATTTCCTAATCCAACCCAATTGAATGTGGGACATTATTTTAATTTCTGGGAAAGAAGTGAAAGAAAATCTGCACAGATCGGTGCACAGAGTCTCTCTACACACACTGCAGTCAGCGTGACATGAAGAAAAAATCATAAAGGTTCAAATACAGTTTGATTTTTGATATTAAATTAAAAAAAATATCCTGGTTTGTGATGGTCTATAATATGAAATACCAAAACATTCTGATGTTTGTAGCTGCCCCCAATTTTGAAAAAGTTGCTTTTTGTCCTTTTTATTTTCTCTCATGCTCGTTTATGTCTTCTTTAACCAAATCGCATTGGATAAATTGAAGAAACAAACGACAGAATGTACTTTAAAGGGGTTATAGAATGATTCTACAGAGTATTTGGTGCTGGCCCTTAAGGTCTCTGAATAGGTTGTGTAACATTGGTTGGGCTGAAATGGCATATTTGCTGTTCTATGAGCCCTAATGAAAGCCTGGTTTTCTTCCTTTTATGGTATGATCATGAATATTTAGATGAGCTGTGCTCTGATTGGTTGGTTCACAACGAGCAAAGCTGCTGAGCAAAGACTCATCATAGCAACAAGCACTCACTCACTGATACATCAAATTGTTGATATGGTAGGGTGACCAGACGTCCTCTTTTTCCCGTACATGTCCTACTTTTCATGCTTTTAACAGTTCAAATGTCCGGGGGGAGTTTCCAAGTCGTCCGGGATTTTGGTAGACTACAGTGCAGCAGAACCGAGCCGTGAGCTCCGGGGCAGGGAGCCAGCGGGGAACGGGGCGACTGAACCCAATCCCATGATGGCAGGTGGGGGGAAGCAAGGTTCGCCGTTGTCCAGGCTACCGTCACTGGGTCGGGTTCACACCAGCCCCGGAGCTGATGGCTTGTTTCAATTGCCCGGTCCGGTCCAGTCAGCAACCCAGCATGGCTCATTTTCAATAGAGAAACTTTCTGCTTTGTAATTCTTGTAGAAGTGGCTAAACAGCTAAACTGCCGTCTTACACCTACCTCTATTCATGTTCTTGGCCCAGTGAACCAGTGGGCTGGTCTGTATGTCTTTTGGGGCGTGACAAAAGTACAGGCCAGAACCAAATAAGGCAACATCCCTGAGTTTACGTCAACTTGGGGCTTCGTTTGGTTTCGCCCGTGTTATGGTGGAAGTTTAGAATTGCAGAGATAGGAGATGTCAATGGGGTTTGAACTTCTCTGGACGTCCATTTCACCCACTGAACTATAGTCATTCATCTATGACAATGGAAACTCGGTTTTATATTCTATGACCCCTTCAAAAGTCTTTTTGTTGAGTAGTTCCATATAAACTGCCTTATTACCAAGTTCTGGTGCTGAAATTTTTCATTCCTGTCAACATGCAATTCTTTCTTAAAAATTCCAGATGTTAAAAACTTTATTTATAAAGTACAAGTATAAAAGTAGGATGAGAAATACAATTCTGCAGGGTAATAAACCTGAGTTTCAGTTTTTCTCTCACCTTGCGGTTAGAGTAGCAGGGACAACGCTGCCCCCTGCAGGTCAACACTGAGGGATTCTGCGTCGCTCGGCCACATTTACAGCCCTTCTTCTCTACAGGCTTCTTGTACAGCGGCTTTGAGGGGCTCGGTGGATGAGAGAGGGGGTGCACGTGGGGGTGTGGGGGCACTCTGTCACGGGGTTGTGCGCGAGGTTTTGGGGCCCCTTGCCGGACCTTTGTGTAAGGTTTCTTGTTGGCCCCGTGGTGCTCCATAGTCTTTTTAAGAGCCTTGTTGGGGAGCAACACGCTCTTGCCCACCTTCGGGGGGCCGCCGTTGGGGACAGGTAAGAGGTGGGGGTGTGGCGTGGCAGCAGAGAACTTCGGCTCGTGTTTGGTGGTGGCACCAGCGTTAACGGGATGGTTGAGGCCGCCGAATGTGGGCCCTCGTAAAAGGCTGGTAATGTTAAGGGGCTGCACCTTCTCGCTGTCGCTTTCTGAGCGGGAGCGTTTACGAGGGCAGCGTGGGGGAACATGGGGGGGCACTACAGGGGGCTGAGGGGGGGGCAGCAGGTGGGGATGGAGCAGCCGGGGGCTGTTCTCCAGGATGAGGCAGGACGGGTCGAGGCGATGCGGCCCGTTCAGGCTGGGCTGAGGTACTAATGGGTGGAAGTCTGGGTGAGGCTCAGCTGTGGCGGCAGGATCCGCGTCCGTCTCCAGAGTCCTGAGCACATCCTCTACACTTAACATCAGTTGCCCCCCGCTGTGTTTCAGGTCCTCCCCTAGAGGGCTGATGTCACAAAGCCCCGCCTCCCCGCTGGCCGTCATGCTCACACACACCGGTATGTCCTCTGAGAAGCTCTCTTGCTTTGCCACATCCCCGCCCGTTTCTGCGGTGATGGGCTGCAGCGAGTCTGAACCGATCAGTCCGTTACAGTCATGAAGTCCGTTCACCGTCGCCGGGCTCCGCTCCTCGTCTTTAACCTCTGTGGAGGGCGGAGCCTCATCAGGCTGAGCCACCTCTGAGGTGGAAGCGGTCTGCGACGGCGAGGCCGAATCTGAAACATCCTCCGACTCCAGCTCGCTCTCCGCCAACGTTAAGCCTTCCTCCAGGATGGCCTGGAGGTCCGGGGAGTCGCTGGCAGCGCTGGCGAGGTGTGGAGCGAGCGGCGACTGGGTGATGTAGAGGCAGAGCTTCCTGTAACAGTGGACGAGCAAAGAGAGCTGCCGGTTTTCCTCGAAGCGGGTGTAGTCCTTACACCAACTGCAGGACGGCTTCAGCTGCATCCTCTGACCCTTACAGCCACGGCAGACGTAATGCTGACATGACGAGTTGGTGGGAGCGATGGGGTCCTGCAGCAGGTTACCTGAGAAGAAGCCAGGGAGCAAGCCTCTTGGTTAAATTTGCCCTTTGATGAAATAAACATTCAAAGATGCTCAGAATTTAGGATATATTGTATGTGATACAACTTAAGTCCAACACTCAAGACTTTAAGAAGGTACAATTAAAACTCACTGGATTTTCTGACAAGAACAACTAAGTAAGAGGAAAATTACATTTTTTTGTTGACTACAAATCAGTAAAGTTTGGCCAGAATTTTTGTTTAGCTCCAACCATCAAATTAAACCCAGTGAAACTGATTCCTTCAATCTATGGGATGGAATCACTACAGTCTGTCCTACACCTGCAGGCCACGAAGAGACACAATTAACCAGAGAAGCAACCAAGAAGCTCATTGTTACTCTAGAGGAGCTGCAGGGATGCTTAGCTCAGGTGAAACAGTCATCAAGACAACTAGTAATGATCACCATGAATCTTTTCTTTATGGAAGAAAGCTTGAAAAGGTCTAGTAGGGAACAAAGAAATATGTGGAAAGAGGTGAAGACTGACCCACCTGCAAATACTGGTAAAAAAAAAAAAAAGCAGTTTTTAGAGCAGCTCTGCAATGAACCACATTAGATTAAGGCAGATTTATTTGTTAGAATGGCCTAGTTAAAGTCCAGACCTATATCCTATGGAACATCTTTAAGGTAAAGCCAATTGTCTTCATACTTTAGCGAATCTCACTAAGCTTTAACTCTTTTTATAAATTTCAATTCAAGGTATAGTGGAGGATCTTCTTTTTCCAGGTGGATCATCTAAATAAGTGGTCCTCCTAATTGTCAATCATTCTGGTGATGTTTACGTAAAGGCCGTCCTAAGTGCTCGTCCCCAGTTAGTTAGTTAGTTAATCTTTTTTCTGTGCATGCAGATTTTCAGGTGTATATATGTGGTGAGCTACGGTTTCACTCGCTGAAGCTCACCTTTCTCACCGCAGTTCTTAGAAATTCACAAGTCACAAGAAAAAAAGTGTCTACCAAGTGTATGCAAAGAAAAGAAAGGCCTCAGAAGAGGCAGATATATCCCTAAATGCTCTGCGCTGAGAGTTCTCCTCACAAAGCATTATGGGTATACTATAAAGTCCACTATATAGTCTCCGCTGTATATAGTGATTAAGGGATTTAGGGGTTAGGATGGATGTTCGGACACAGTGAGCTTGTATGAGCTATGAGAACAGCAACTTTTAAACAGAGCGTGCACAAGGAGAACTGGGCTGGTGCACGCTCTCACACGCATTTAATAGGCGTTCCCTCTCTGGAGGCAGTACAGGGTTGTGCATGTACATTTTTTTAAGCCCACAATTCCTTTAATACAGGGCAAAACCTCAGCCTCTGGTTGTGAAAAGCTGGTAGATCTGCATCCAAAGAGGCCTGCAGCTGTGACTTCAAATTAACATGGTTCAGTTGATACACAGAAACTGAATAAACCAGACTTGTCAGATCTCTTTCTTTGAAAGTTGTTTTTAGAAATCATGCCACTTTCTTCTAATTTCATAATTCTCCAATTCCGTATGTCAATGCTGTACATAAAACCCGAATCAAATAGGATTGAATTTAAAGTAACAATGTGACAAAAAAAAGAGAGGAAAAAAAAAGGAATTGGAGGAATTCTTTGGAAGATGCTTTTTAAATGACATGTGACAGGAAATATGAAAACTCCTACTGATGAGATGATGACTTGTTTAACCTCCCACTCTTTATTGGTCTGCATTTATAAACCTGAGAGATGCTTGGCAGGCTGCCGGACTGAGCGACAGCTGCTCTTTGAGAGGAGCTTCCTTAGCAACGCTGGCTTTTAGAGCCTGCAGCTGCAGATGGGAGAAAGGAAGAAGGTCCATTCATAAGAAACAACCAAGCATAGACTCTGTGAATCCCGCCTCTTAACGGCACGTCTATATTTAACATACAGCATAGTCTGCTTTAACACGCATGCATTATTTACAAAGCAGAGATGGAGGCTATCTGTTAGTGCTGTGGAGCTGGTCTTCTATAGTGCAGTGGAAACAAGTCTATCTTGCCTTATTTATGTTTTCTTTCAGGTTTTCTTGTGATTAATGAAAGCGGTCAGATATTGCATGTCTCCTTTATAAAATACCTGTATAAAAATATGAATACACCAAAGAGTATTTGTACTAAAACGCTGTATCTGGATCCAATATTTAGCATGGTGTGAATACCAAAGACAAATGGTGTTAATTTAAATTTCTGATGTATTTGCACATGAAAGAAAAAATAAAACACCTCAGACAACCTTAAAGCATTGTTAAATTGTGTTACATTTTGGTTGTTTATTTTTGCATTATTCGCACATCTATCTAATACTAGCATCCATGATTCTGTTGAAAGCTCACACCATGTTTAGATTAAAATAGGTCAGCTCTTTATGATAATAAAAAGATTTTGTCTTTAGTTATCTCATTTTTCTCCATGGTTTAAAAAATGGTAGACGATCAAATATGATAATTTACAAACGTATATATTTTACTACTATACTTAACTAATATTATTAATTAATAATCAGACTATTGTGGCGATCCTAGAAGTAGAATTTGAATAAGATAAAAGTGACTTCTGAGTCATATACTTGTCCTGCACACCATGTCTGCCTCTACACACTGATACAAAGATTAGCACTAATTTCAAATATCCATCAATAGCTGAGTAAACAGACATAATTTCCCCCTTTATTAGGATTAAAATATGCAAGTTAAATATGTATGTCACATTAATTATAAAGCATAAGTACGGAAGAGGATTAGGGCCACTGAAAAAATACAAATGTTAACTTATTTTTTAAATTTTATTTCAGTATAATACCAGAAAAAAAAGTCAGAATTCTGACTGAATTCTGACAGCTAACAAACATGTTAGCATCAAGCCATAGCCATGTCTGTTCTAAAGACTAAACTAGCTCTCTTATTTTAATCACCTTCTGCCCTTCCATTAATTAAATAGCATCTTTGTGTTAAAAACCATCAAATAAAAAGTCGCCTAATACTGTAATTTTCCACCAATATATTACTGGCCTAAAAACTCACATATTTGTCAGTGAAGCTGAGTGCTCCAACATTTCATCCTTCATGGTGCCCATCTACATTAAAATCCACAATTCTGAGATTAAAGTCAGAATTCTGACTTTTTTCTCATATTATACTGAAATAAAATTTAAAAATGTACTTTTTCTTATATTTTCAGTGACCCTTATCCTCTACTATACATAAGAACATCTGGTACCAGCATAGAAATAAAAGGAAAGCAGTTAATAATAACATTTATACTCATTATTAGTTTGCTCAGTTTGGATTTTGGTAACATGTGAGTAAATAAGCATAAATTGAATTTAATGAGTTACACAAACAAAATTATGTAAGATTTTAGACAAAAAGCATGACTTAATCAATAAACTCATATTAAATTAGAATATATATTGTAATGTTAGTTATCTATTAATAATAGGTAGAGAAATTCGTATCCTATCAAATGTTCTTAGATATTTAGATTTAATATTTAAATGGTACCACTTTAAATACAAGATATGAAGTAAAAACTGTCCCTGTCTTACAGAACATGCAACGTAAACATGAACAGAATCTGACAGAGCCTCACACAGACGGGGGTGTGTCATGATGCTTTCAAGTCACTTCGGAATTTATAGCTTTAAAAACTTGAACGCTAGACAAAGGGGGAGGGGAGGGATATTACTTTTCTTTTGTTGTTGTTTACTTGTGTAAAGAAAACAACTTCGATCATAAGGATGGAAAATAAATATTTAAATGTGTATCTATTTAAGGGAAATAATTATACAAGGTCTTACATGCGTAAGTATATGCGAAGTTACGTAACATGACAAATATAAAAATATCAAATACAATATATTATTCATCAGCTTAAAGTTTATGTGTTGTAGAATCCATCTTCATAGCATTTGGTTGGAAGAAAATGTAATTTTTCTACAGAAATATCTACTTTTCCCCACTGTACTTGAATGCAGCATCATTTTAAAGGCTGTCGCCGATACTGAGGAGATCCTCGTTCCCCATAAAGAGCAGCGCTGTTCCGCGTGAATAAAGCGGGCCTGTTGATGACTAACTTACCACAGACCAGGCAGGACAGGGACTGGCGGAAGAAGGGCAGCACCTTACAGAGCTCCGCCAGCTCCCGGGGATCTCTGGGGTCGCACTGCAGCACCGAGCGGCTCGCAGAGACGTAGAGAGCGGTGGCATTCACTGGGTTCATCTCAGCTGGCAGGCTCGCTCCGTTAAAGCGGAACAGTACGTTAAAACACCAGATAATTTACCCGTTCAACTCCCGCTTTCTGGGAGGTACAAATATTTGTCAGGGGAGTCTGGTGGCTTAGGAGAGAGCATAGATGGAGGCAGGACCCTCGGTCACTTCCCTGTCGGTAAATCCCACACATATGAGAGCCTGAGAGCAGGGAAATCCAAGTTAAACATCCCATCCATCCAGCCCAGAAATAGGAGCAAGAGCTTCGGACATAATTTTACTTTTCCCCCCGGTTTAGTTGGATCCAGTGATGGGTGAAATATTAAATATGAAGCCCACAGGTGGAGCCCTTTTCCTCCAGCTTTAAACGCTGCTTTCAGCCGGTTGCCTCGCAGAAGCTCTGAAATTCACATGACAAACTGCTCCTGTTTGCGATGTTCTCCTTCACATAGATCCATCATCCACATGCAGGTTCCTCCCGGCTTGTCCCACAGCTTGTAGCGCATGATGCATCGATTAAAACCTCCAGTTGGGATGCAGCCCCGGTAGTTATTTATGGTTCTGTTATTGTTCGCAGAGATTCATGGCGGCTCGAAAACAAAACAGGCCGCCCCGGGCTTTAAATGGTCCTTTTGAGGGGAGAAACGCCGGCAACGTCCGCGCAGCAAGAGGGTAGATATCCGGGATAAAAATAAGACTGGTAGAAATAATTAAAAAAAGCTCCAATGGGTTGGTCGCGTCAAAGGAAAAGAAGCTAACGGAAGCACCGGGCTCTCCTGATAAGGCAAGCCGCTCGAGCTGCACCAGGAAGCCGGCTACTGGAGCAGGCCGCGTCTCCGTTCCCGGGATTAAAAAGAGTCGTTTAGTCTAACTGAAAACGTAACAAATAAACGAAACATTCAACTCCTCTCGCGATTTTTACCAGACCGTGGGAGCGTCAGAAAACACAATATTAAATTATTTTTCTCCTAAGTGTTCGTTGCTATCATTAGCCGCTTCTCCACATGAAAACAAGGGGGCGCTATAGTGTACATCTCGCGAGAATACACGCGAGGTGGTAAATGTAGATTCAAAAAACTTTTGTTATAGATTTTATCTAGAAAGAAGTAGTAAGTAGGCATGTTTTGTATTCAACACTTGTAAATAAAGTTGAAATATATATATATATATATATATATATATATATATATATATATATATATATATATATATATATATATATATATATATATATATATATATATATATAACTTATTAAGGCTGCACTTTAAAAAATGAAATAGTCTAGAGAGCTGTAATTAATGAAATTTATTTTTGTTTAAACTTGTGTCAACAAAATGACAAACTAAAATCTAAGTCTAAGTCTTAAACCCCATTCTTTGAGAAAACAACCTTACATATTTGAGAATAAGTAATTAAGCTATTGATTTATGGGATGTCTCAAAAGTAAAGTATATTTGCAAGAGGATGGGTCCACACAATGAAAGCCAAATAAAAATACGAAAAACTAAGGTAGAGCGTGAGCTGTGTAGCAATCAATTAAGAATTGTCTGGACAGACATAATGGATCATATAACCAAAAATGTCCCATATATTATGCTTGAATTTACTTAACACTATGATTTACTTGGGATTTGATGTGACCAAAACCTTGTGCAAAGAAGTTGCAAATTGAATATGGCTGTAGAATAAGCCAAACTGCCAGGGAAAACTTTTGAAAAATGTTTATATTTTAAATTATGCAAATCATCATGTGCTAATGAGCCTAATAATGGCAATTCTGGGAAGATATGCAGTTTCTGCAAACTTTCACAAAGATGTCTCTGGGGCATTTATGATAAAATTAATAAAATGCACTGACACACTGTCACAACACAGGACACCACAGAGTCATAACAAATCACACAGTGATCAGTTAACCTAATTTAAATATATTTGAACAGTTTGAGAAAATCCGAGTTCCTAGAGAAAATCCATACATACACGGGAAAGAACATGCAAACCCCATTCTATAAGTCTGCAGGAGAAATACTTGAACACTGTACTACAGGTGCTGGTCATAAAATTAGAATATCATGAAAAAGTAGATTGATTTCAGTAATTCCATTTAAAAAGTGAAACTTGTATATTATATTCATACATTACATACAAACTCATATATTTCAGATGTTTATTTTGTTTAATTTTGATGATTACAAATGACAACAAATGAAAATCTCAAATTCATCATATCAGAAAATTAGAATATTACTGAAGACCAATAAAAACAAAGGATTTATAGAAATGTTGGCCAACTGAAAAGTATGAACATGAAAAGTATGAGCATGTACAGCACTCAGTATTTAGTTGGGCCTCCTTTGGCCTGTATTACTGCAGCAATGCGGCGTGGCATGGAGTCGATCAGTCTGTGGCACTGCTCAGGTGTTATGATAGCCCAGGTTGCTCTAATAGTGGCTTTTAGCTCTTCTGAATTGTTGGGTCTGGTGTATTGCATCTTCTTCTTCACAATACCCCATAGATTTTCTATGGGGTTAAGGTCAGGAGAGTTTGCTGGCCAATTAAGAACAGGGATACCATGGTCCTTCAACCAGGTACTGGTAGCTTTGGCACTGTGTGCAGGTGCCAAGTCCTGTTGGAAAATGAAATCTGCATCTCCAAAAAGTTGGTCAGCTGCAGGAAGCATGAAGTGCTCTAAAACTTCCTGGTATGTGGCTGCGTTGACCCTGGACCTCAGCAAACACAATGGACCAACACCAGCAGATGACATGGCACCCCAAACCATCACTGACTGTGGAAACTTTACACTGGACTTCAAGCAACGTGGATGAAGTGCCTCTCTTCTTTTCCTCCAGACTCTGGGACCTTGATTTCCAAAGGAAATGCAAAATTTACTTTCATCAGAGAACATGACTTTGGACCACTCACCAGCAGTCCAGTCCTGTTTCTCTTTAGCCCAGGCAAGACGCTTCTGACGCTGTCTGTGGTTCAAGAGTGGCTTGACACAAGGAATGCGACAGCAGAAACCCATGTCTTTCATACGTCTGTGTGTGGTGGTTCTTGAAGCACTCACTCCAGCTGCAGTCCACTCTTTGTGAATCTCCCCCACATTTTTGAAGGGGTTTTGTTTCACAATCCTCTCCAGGGTGCGGTTATCTCTCTTGCTTGTACACTTTTTTCGACCACATCTTTTCCTTCCCTTCGCCTCTCTATTAATGTGCTTGGACACTGAGCTCTGTGAACAGCCAGCCTCTTTAGCGATGACCTTTTGTGTCTTGCCCTCCTTGTGCAAGGTGTCGATGGTCGTCTTTTGGACAACTGTCAAGTCAGCAGTCTTCCCCATGATTGTGTAGCCTATAGAACTAGACTGAAAGACCATTTAAAGGCTTTTGCAGGTGGTTTGAGTTAATTAGCTGAATAGAGTGTGGCACCAGGGGCCATCAATTTTGAACCTTTTCACAATATTCTAATTTTCTGATATGATGAATTTGAGATTTTCATTTGTTGTCATTTGTAATCATCAAAATTAAACAAAATAAACATCTGAAATATATGAGTTTGTATGTAATGTATGAATATAATATACAAGTTTCACTTTTTAAATGGAATTACTGAAATCAATCTACTTTTTCATGATATTCTAATTTTATGACCAGCACCTGTATACATTTTTATAATCGATAGAAAAAAAAAATACAAATAAAATTTTTTTTATATGCGTTGTTAATGCAAAACTCATATAAGTGCTAAACTCAGAGGTGAATCTACATGGTATAAATTCTTTTTTTACTATAACTAATTAGCTTTACTCAGTGTGGTTATTTCAGTATCTATTTTTCTGATGATTTTTTAAGTTTACTCCTTATATTTGAACACTGTTATCTGTACTTCATTCATTAAATTCTAATTTTCTCAGAAGTGGCTCCTTACTTCTGTACATGTTGACAATGACATGATAAGAAAATCTGTTTGGTTTGGGTCCAGTTAATTTGCAGAATAACTGATTGCACCATGGATGAAGACAGGGAGATGAGAAAATTGTAGATTCTGAGACTCAATACATTCTCCATCCATTGACTCTTTCTTAGATTTTATATTTACATCTTGATTGTTGTTATAGTTTCTATTTCAGCTCCATTTGCAACTTCTAATGCTTTGAATATCAGAGCTGTAAAAGAATTTAGCTTTTCCTGCAAAACTTCTGTTCACTATGATCTATATTATCCTGCCTGAAATTAAAATTTAGAACAAGACTGAGTCAGTAATTATTTTATGCTTTCTATACAGAGAGAGAGAATAAAATTAACTTTTCTATAAGAGTAGAGTTTTAGAAAAATATTTAATTTTTTCTAAAGGAAAGCACTCATTTTCACTGATTTAATTCAGTATGTAGAAACTATAATGTTTTACTTTGAAAGAAGTTCAATCGGTACTTTTTACCTTTTTACACAAATAAATTGTTCTATTACTGAAGTAAAGAATTTGAATGACTTTAACAACTATGAGCAAACGTCTAGTCACAGTTTTCTCAAATTCTTTTGCAATGAATAATAGTTGAGAAAGATAGAATTACTTGCTGCTGCTGTAATGCTGCTGACCTGATGGCCTCTTAGATTTCCTCATGTGAGATCATGGATGAAGGACACTTCACACGTAGTCAGGAAATGTCATAATAAGGGTGTTCCTTTTTTCTCTTTGATATTTCCCATTTGGTAAATTAAATCATTTGAGGATATTAAATTAAACTAACTAAATTGAACTATTCTCATTGATTTTTTTTTCATATTTAAAAATTGGGTATCAAAGTCTGTCTGTTAGAAAATCCACACATTGTATTCAGTTTTTCTGAGAAAGAAGAAGAGCTATTGTATTCAAGGGTTGTTTTCAAAGTGGAGGATGTGCTCCCCTGGATGGACGCCAGGGGGCGCTAGAGGTTCCTTAGGAAAATGGAGAACAAATTTGAAAACGTATACAAAAATTTATGTTAATTTAAATTATCATTAAAAAGCATATCTTTAAACATTGATATTCAGTAACTTTATTAATATATCATATTAACACGGACAGTTGTGGGATTTAAAACTAAACTTTGAGGATATCTATGTAAGGAAGGACTATCCCATCTTGGCTGACAGGTTACCTACAGGCCCTGTCTCTTTTAAATACATTCCTGCCCTCTGTCTGCTTTTTTTTTTTTTACTTTAAAGATACTCAAAAAGAAATATAGAATATGTCTACATATGATTCTGATAGGCCTAGCCCTCCCACTACACACACAAACTGTTCAGAGAGGAGAGTTCTTTGGTTCTGCTCTTATCAACAGTTTATTAAAACATTTGCTATTCAGTGAGAATATAAGACAGAGCTGAAAAACTATTTGCTAATCTAATGCTAAACATTAATTTATCCACATTCAAGAATAATTTAATAGGAATGAAATGAAGAAAACATAGGCCTACTTCTTAGGATTGTTTCCAATGAGGCCCCCCTGGCAGAATGCTCATGCTTTTTGGGGGGCCGCAGCATGTTAAAGTTTGAGAACTCCTGGTCTGTAATGTCATCAGACCACATAGAAAAATCCCCCACATCTCCTTCCTCCAGATTCTAGTTTTGAAAATATAAGCTTAAGGTTTGGTCGCAGGAAATATTCAGGCTTGTGTCAGATAACTGACTCGGCACAAAGACATAACCACCAATTGTACTCAGTCAGACATACACTGCAGACAGAGTTCACCACATTCATAATGCAAACATGCTGATAAGATCTTCATGTTGATGTTTGTGTTTCTCATGATCATTGTAAACTGAAGCTGTTGACCCCAATGGGGACTTTCCATCTTAGTGGGTAAAGGAAAAAAAAAAGCTTCTTATTTTCATACAGAGGGGCAATCAGCATTTTAAGAAAATAAGACACCTTATTGAAGTATTTTGGGTAGTATGCAACAGATATTTATTTTATCTGCAATGTCTCCTACTACTGCTGAGTTTTATCAGAATAAAATAAAAATGGAATTAAATT